CCAAAACCCCTGAAAAATGGAATTTTTGGGGGAATTTGGGTGGAATTTTCATGTTTTGGTGGGAATTTTTCGGTGTTTTTTGGGGTTTTTTTTGGATTTTGGAATTTTGGGATAATTTTGGGTTGAATTCCCGGGATTTTGGGATTTTCCAGAGTCCAAGGGGCTCCAAAACCCCTCAAAAATGGAATTTTTGGGTGAATTTTTGGGGAATTTGGGTGGAATTTTCGCATTTTGGTGGGAATTTTTCGGGGATTTTTTTGGGATTTTGGAATTTTGGGATAATTTTGGGCTGAATTCCCGGGATTTTGGGATTTTGCAGACGCCAAGGGGCTGTCGAACGCGGCCGAGGTGGAGCTGCTGCGGGAGAAGGTTTACGCCTCGCTGGAATCCTACTGCAAACAGAAATACCCCGAGCAGCAGGGCAGGTCCGCAATTCCCGGGAAAAACGGCCGCAATTCCTGGGAAAAAATGGCGGGAATTCCGGGAAAAACGGCCGGAATTCCCGGGAAAAAACGGCGGGAATTCTGGGGAAAAACGTCGGGAATTTTGGGGAAAAATGGCGGGAATTCCCAGGAAAAAACGGCGGGAATTCCAGGGAAGAACAGCCGGAATTCCCGGGAAAAAATGGCGGGAATTCTGGGGAAAAACGGCGGGAATTCCCGGGAAAACTGGCGGGAATTCTCGGGACAAAACGGCGGGAATTCCCGGGAAAAAACGGCGGGAATTCCCGGGAAAAACGGGGAATTCTGGGAAAAACGGGAAATTCTGGGAAAAACAGGGGGAATTCTGGGGGGAAAAAAATGGGAATTCCGGGGGGGGAAACGGTGGGAATTCTGGGAAAAAACGGTGGGAATTCCCGAGAAAAAACGGCGGGAAATCCAGGGAAAAACGGCAGCAATTCCCGGGAAAAACGGCAAGAATTCCCGGGAAAAACGGCCGCAATTCCCGGGAAAAACAGCCGGAATTCCCAGGAAAAAACGGTGGGAATTCCCGGGAAAAACCTGGGAATTTTGGGGGGGAAAAAATGGAAATTCTGGGGGGAAAAAGAGCAGGGATTTGGGGGGAAAAAAAAAAAAGTGGGAATTCCCATAAAAACGGCGGGAATTCTGGGAAATATGGCGGGAATTCTGGGGAAAATGGCGGGAATTCCCGGGAAAATGGCGGGAATTCTGGGAAAAACAGGGAATTCTGGGAAAAATGGTGAATTCTGGGAAAAACGGGGAATTCTGGAATAAAAATGGGGAAAAAATAGAAAAAAAAAGGGAAAAAAATAGGGAAAAAAAGGGAGAAAATGGGGAAAAAATGAGGGAAAAAATGGGGAAAAATTGGGAAAAAATGGGAAATAAATGGGAAAAAAATGGGAAAAATTGGGAAAAAATGGGAAATAAATGGGAAAAGGAGCAAAAAATTAGGAAAAAAATGTGAAAAAAATGGGAAAAAATCGGGAAAAAATGAGGAAAAGAATGGGAAAAATTGGGGAAAAAATGAGGAAAAAATCAGAAAAAAGTGGGAAAAAATGGGGAAAAATGGGAAAAAAATAGGAAAAAAATGGTGGAATGGAAAGGGGGAAAAATGGGAATAAAAATGGGAATTAAAAGGGAAAAAAGAAGGGAAGAAAAGGACAAAAAATGGGGAAAAAAGAGGGAAAGAAAGGGAAAAAAATGGGAAAAAATGGGAAAAAAATGGGAAATAAATTGGGAAAATTGAGAAAAAAATGAGGAAAAAATCAGAAAAAAGTGGGAAAAAATGAGGAAAAATGGGGAAAAAATAGAAAAAAATGGGAAAAAAATAGGGGAAAAAGTGGGAAAAAATGGGGAAAAAATGGGAAAAAAGGAAAAAATGAGGAAAAATGGGGAAAAAATAGAAAAAAATGGGAAAAAAATAGGGGAAAAAGTGGGAAAAAATGGGGAAAAAATGGGAAAAAAATGGGGAAAAAGGACAAAAAATGGGGAAAAAAGAGAAAGAAAAGGAAAAAAATGGGGAAAAAATTAGCAAAAAAATAGAGAAAAAAATGGGAAAAAATGGGAAAAAAAGAGGAAAAAAAAGGGGAAAAAAAGGGAAAAAATGGGGGAAAAAATGGGAAAAAAATGAGGAAAAAATGGGAAAAAATGGGAAAAAATCTGGGAAAAAACAGGAAAAAAGTGGAAAAGTGGGGAAAAGGCTGGAAAATGCAGAATTCCCAAGAAATTCCATGTTTTTTCCCGCAGGTTCGCCAAGCTGCTGCTGCGGCTGAGGCTCCATTGGCCTGAGGGGGGAATGGAAAGGGGGAAAATGGGAATAAAAATGGGAATAAATGGGGGAAAAATGGGGAAAAAAAGAGCAAAACGAAGGGAAAAAATGGGAAAAAATTGGGAAAAAATGAGGAAAAAAATGGGAAAAAATGAGGGAAAAAGCATGAAAAAAATGGCAAAAAAATAGGAAAAAAAATGAGGAAAAAATGAGGGGAAAATGGGAAAAAAATGGGGAAAATTGAGGAAAAAATGAGGAAAAAATCAGAAAAAAGTGGGAAAAAATGAGGAAAAATGGGGAAAAAATAGAAAAAAATGGGAAAAAAATAGGGGAAAAAGTGGGAAAAAATGGGGAAAAAATGGGAAAAAAATGGGGAAAAAGGACAAAAAATGGGGAAAAAAGAGAAAGAAAAGGAAAAAAATGGGGAAAAAATTAGCAAAAAAATAGAGAAAAAAATGGGAAAAAATGGGAAAAAAAGAGGAAAAAAAAGGGGAAAAAAAGGGAAAAAATGGGGGAAAAAATGGGAAAAAAATGAGGAAAAAATGGGAAAAAATGGGAAAAAATCTGGGAAAAAACAGGAAAAAAGTGGAAAAGTGGGGAAAAGGCTGGAAAATGCAGAATTCCCAAGAAATTCCATGTTTTTCCCGCAGGTTCGCCAAGCTGCTGCTGCGGCTGAGGCTCCATTGGCCTGAGGGGGGAATGGAAAGGGGGAAAATGGGAATAAAAATGGGAATAAATGGGGGAAAAATGGGGAAAAAAAGAGCAAAACGAAGGGAAAAAATGGGAAAAAATTGGGAAAAAATGAGGAAAAAAATGGGAAAAAATGAGGGAAAAAGCATGAAAAAAATGGCAAAAAAATAGGAAAAAAAATGAGGAAAAAATGAGGGGAAAATGGGAAAAAAATGGGGAAAATTGAGGAAAAAATGAGGAAAAAATCAGAAAAAAGTGGGAAAAAATGAGGAAAAATGGGGAAAAAATAGAAAAAAAATGGGGAAAAAGAGGAAAAAAATGGGGAAAAAAGGGAAAAAATGGGGGAAAAAATGGGAAAAAAAAATAGGAATAAATGGGGAAAAAATGGGGAAAAGTGGGGAAAAAAGTGGGGAAAAATGGGAAAAAAATGAGGAAAAAAATGAGAAAAAACGGGAAAAAATGGGGAAAAAATGGGAAAAAAATAGGGAAAAATGGGGAGAAAATGAGGAAATATGGGAAAAAAATGGGGAAAAAATGAGGAAAAATGGGAAAAAAATGAGGAAAAAATGGGAAAAAATATGGGAAAAAAATAGGGAAAAAATGGAAAAAAATGGGAAAAAATCTGGGAAAAAACAGGAAAAAAGTGGAAAAGTGGGGAAAAGGCTGGAAAATGCAGAATTCCCAAGAAATTCCATGTTTTTCCCGCAGGTTCGCCAAGCTGCTGCTGCGGCTGCGGCTCCATTGGCCTGAGGGGGGAATGGAAAGGGGGAAAAATGGGAATAAAAATGGGAATAAATGGGGGAAAATGGGGAAAAAAAGGACAAAAAATGGGGAAAAAAGAGGGAAAAAAATGGGAAAAGGGAATAAAAATGGGAATAAATGGGGGAAAAATGGGGAAAAAAGGACAAAAAGAAGGGAAAAAATGGGGAAAAATTGGGAAAAAATGAGGAAAAAAATGAGGGAAAAAACATGAAAAAAATGGCAAAAAATAGGAAAAAGATGAGGAAAAAATGGGGAAAAAATGAGGGAAAAATGGGAAAAAAATGGGGAAAAATGAGGAAAAAATGAGGAAAAAATAGGGAAAAAATGGGGAAAAGTGGGGAAAAAAGTGGGGAAAAATGGGAAAAAAATGGGGAAAAAAAATGAGAAAAAATGGAAAAAAATGGGAAAAAAATGGGGAAAAAGTAGGGAAAAAATGGGGAAAAAATGGGAAAAAAGGGAAAAAATAGAAAAAAATGGGAAAAAAAATAGGGAAAAAATGGGAAAAAAAGGGAAAAAATAGAAAAAAATGGGAAAAAATAGGGAAAAAATGGGGAAAAAATGGGAAAAAAGTGGAAAAGTGGGGAAAAGGCTGGAAAATGCAGAATTCCCAAGAAATTCCATGTTTTTTCCCGCAGGTTCGCCAAGCTGCTGCTGCGGCTGAGGCTCCATTGGCCTGAGGGGGGAATGGAAAGGGGGAAAATGGGAATAAAAATGGGAATAAATGGGGGAAAAATGGGGAAAAAAAGGACAAAAGAAGGGAAAAAATGGGAAAAAATTGGGAAAAAATGAGGAAAAAAATGGGGAAAAAATGGGGAAAAATGAGGAAAAAATGGGGAAAATTGAGGAAAAAATGAGGAAAAAATCAGAAAAAAGTGGGAAAAAATGAGGAAAAATGGGGAAAAAATAGAAAAAAAATGGGGAAAAAGAGGAAAAAAATGGGGAAAAAAGGGAAAAAATGGGGGAAAAAATGGGAAAAAAAAATAGGAATAAATGGGGAAAAAATGGGGAAAAGTGGGGAAAAAAGTGGGGAAAAATGGGAAAAAAATGAGGAAAAAAATGAGAAAAAACGGGAAAAAATGGGGAAAAAATGGGAAAAAAGGGAAAAAATAGAAAAAAATGGGAAAAAAAATAGGGAAAAAATGGGAAAAAAAGGGAAAAAATAGAAAAAAATGGGAAAAAATAGGGAAAAAATGGGGAAAAAATGGGAAAAAAGTGGAAAAGTGGGGAAAAGGCTGGAAAATGCAGAATTCCCAAGAAATTCCATGTTTTTTCCCGCAGGTTCGCCAAGCTGCTGCTGCGGCTGAGGCTCCATTGGCCTGAGGGGGGAATGGAAAGGGGGAAAATGGGAATAAAAATGGGAATAAATGGGGGAAAAATGGGGAAAAAAGGACAAAAAGAAGGGAAAAAATGGGGAAAAATTGGGAAAAAATGAGGAAAAAAATGAGGGAAAAAACATGAAAAAAATGGTAAAAAAATAGGAAAAAAAATGAGGAAAAAATGGGGAAAAAATGAGGGAAAAATGGGGAAAAAAATGGGGAAAAAATGGGGAAAAGTGGGGAAAAAAGTGGGGAAAAATGGGAAAAAAATGAGGAAAAAAATGAGGAAAAAATGGGAAAAAATGGGGAAAAAAATGGGGAAAAAATGAGGAAAAATGGGAAAAAAAAGAGGAAAAAATGGGAAAAAAATGGGGAAAAAAATAGGGAAAAAATGGAAAAAAATGGGGAAAAATCTGGGAAAAAACAGGAAAAAAGTGGAAAAGTGATAAAAAACCCCGGAAAATGCAGAATTCCCAAGAAATTCCATGTTTTTTCCCGCAGGTTCGCCAAGCTGCTGCTGCGGCTGAGGCTCCATTGGCCTGAGGGGGGAATGGAAAGGGGGAAAAATGGGAATAAAAATGGGAATAAATGGGGGAAAAATGGGGAAAAAAAGAGCAAAAAGAAGGGAAAAAATGGGAAAAAATTGGGAAAAAATGAGGAAAAAAATGGGGAAAAAATGGGGAAAAATGAGGAAAAAATGGGGAAAATTGAGGAAAAAATGAGGAAAAAATCAGAAGAAAGTGGGAAAAAATGAGGAAAAATGGGGGAAAAATAGAAAAAAAATGGGAAAAAATAGGGGAAAAAATGGGAAAAAAGAGGAAAAAAATGGGGAAAAAAGGGAAAAAATGGGGAAAAAATGGGAAAAAAAAAAGAAGAATAAATGGGGAAAAAAATGGGAAAAAATGGGGAAAAGTGGGGAAAAATGGGAAAAAAAATGAGGAAAAAAATGAGAAAAAAAGGGAAAAAATGGGGAAAAAATGGGAAAAAATAGGGAAAAATGGGGAGAAAATGAGGAAAAATGGGAAAAAAATGGGAAAAAAATGGGGAAAAAATGAGGAAAAATGGGAAAAAAATGAGGAAAAAATAGAAAAAAATGGGAAAAAATGGGAAAAAAATAGGGAAAAAATGGGGAAAAATCTGGGAGAAAACAGGAAAAAAGTGGAAAAGTGATAAAAAACCCCGGAAAATGCAGAATTCCCAAGAAATTCCATGTTTTTTCCCGCAGGTTCGCCAAGCTGCTGCTGCGGCTGAGGCTCCATTGGCCTGAGGGGGGAATGGAAAGGGGGAAAATGGGAATAAAAAAGGGAATAAATGGGGGAAAAATGGGGAAAAAAGGACAAAAAGAAGGGAAAAAATGGGGAAAAATTGGGAAAAAATGAGGAAAAAAATGAGGGAAAAAACATGAAAAAAATGGTAAAAAAATAGGAAAAAAAATGGGGAAAAAATGGGGAAAAAATGAGGGAAAAATGGGGAAAAAAATGGGGAAAAAATGGAAAAAATGGGGAAAAGTGGGGAAAAAAGTGGGGAAAAATGGGAAAAAAATGAGGAAAAAAATGAGGAAAAAATGGGAAAAAATAGGGAAAAATGGGGAAAAAATGGGGAAAAAAATGGGGAAAAAATGAGGAAAAATGGGAAAAAAAAGAGGAAAAAATGGGAAAAAAATGGGAAAAAAATAGGGAAAAAATGGAAAAAAATGGGAAAAAATCTGGGAAAAAACAGGAAAAAAGTGGAAAATGAGGAAAAGGCTGGAAAATGCAGAATTCCCAAGAAATTCCATGTTTTTTCCCGCAGGTTCGCCAAGCTGCTGCTGCGGCTGAGGCTCCATTGGCCTGAGGGGGGAATGGAAAGGGGGAAAATGGGAATAAAAAAGGGAATAAATGGGGGAAAAATGGGGAAAAAAGGACAAAAAGAAGGGAAAAAATGGGGAAAAATTGGGAAAAAATGAGGAAAAAAATGAGGGAAAAAACATGAAAAAAATGGTAAAAAAATAGGAAAAAAAATGGGGAAAAAATGGGGAAAAAATGAGGGAAAAATGGGGAAAAAAATGGGGAAAAAATGGAAAAAATGGGGAAAAGTGGGGAAAAAAGTGGGGAAAAATGGGAAAAAAATGAGGAAAAAAATGAGGAAAAAATGGGAAAAAATAGGGAAAAATGGGGAAAAAATGGGGAAAAAAATGGGGAAAAAATGAGGAAAAATGGGAAAAAAAAGAGGAAAAAATGGGAAAAAAATGGGAAAAAAATAGGGAAAAAATGGAAAAAAATGGGAAAAAATCTGGGAAAAAACAGGAAAAAAGTGGAAAATGAGGAAAAGGCTGGAAAATGCAGAATTCCCAAGAAATTCCATGTTTTTTCCCGCAGGTTCGCCAAGCTGCTGCTGCGGCTGAGGCTCCATTGGCCTGAGGGGGGAATGGAAAGGGGGAAAATGGGAATAAAAATGGGAATAAATGGGGGTAAAATGGGGAAAAAAAGGACAAAAAGAAGGGAAAAAATGGGGAAAATTTGGGGAAAAATGAGGAAAAAAATGGGGAAAAAATGGGGAAAAAATGGGGGAAAGATGAGGAAAAAAATGAGGAAAAAATGGGGAAAAAAATGGGAAAAAATGAGGAAAAAATCAGAAAAAAGTGGGAAAAAATGAGGAAAAATGGGGAAAAAATAGAAAAAAAAAGGGAAAAAAATAGGGAATAAAAGGGAGAAAATGGGGAAAAAATGGGAAAAAAAATGAGGAATAAATGGGGAAAAAATGGGGAAAAAATGAGGAATAAATGGGGAAAAAAATGAGAAAAAATGAGGAATAAATGAGAAAAAATGAGGAAAAAATGGGAAAAAAATGGGAAAAAAATGAGGAAAAAATGGGAAAAAAATAGGGAAAAAATGGAAAAAAATGGGAAAAAATGGAAAAAAATAAAAAAAAATGGGAAAAAATAGGGAAAAATGGGAAAAAAATGAGGAAACAATAGAAAAAAATGGGAAAAAAATAGGGAAAAATAGGGAAAAATCGGGGGAAAAATGGGAAAAAAGTGGCAAAGTGATAAAAAACCCCGGAAAATGCAGAATTCCCAAGAAATTCCATGTTTTTTCCCGCAGGTTCGCCAAGCTGCTG